AAAAAAAAAAAAAAAGGTAGAGAGCAAAGTAGTGGCTAGGGGTGAGAACTGGAAAAAAAGGGAGAAACACTCTTGTCTTTCACACATGGATACACTACATATGGTTTCAAACCAGAAATGTGGCAAAGCACAAAAATGCTAAAAATGTGTTCTTTGTTAATTTGTTCAGGTGTTACAACAGATTTTTTACATATATAAGCAAACATTTGGTAAAGTATACAACAGACTCGTCACTGTGTGAAACAGACTGATGTCTTCATGCACCGAGACACTCAAAGTTCTTGAAATAAATTTTTACTCTATATAAATGAATACAGACAAAATATTGTCAAATTATCATTGACAAATAGCTCTGTAGTAATGATTTACACTATTAATACTCAGCTCATTAGACTTATAAGTAATGAATAACATTCATTTTTTTCAAGGTTAGGTGTTTTGTCTGTATTTATTCATGTTTTTTTTTTTTAATTTTTAATTTTTAAATAATTTAATCATGTCTTCTATTTTCCACATGGATCAGCTCCTGGATATTTATGTGATCAAATAATAGTTTGAAAAATAATACAAACTATGGAATAATAGATCTTGGAAAAATGAACGAATGACAATAGCATAATACTGCTGCTGGTTTCCAGGTTTACCTGAAAACAAATACTCTTAAATAATCTTTCCATTTCAAAATTCAGATATTATCTATTCAGATAGATGCAGTACATCTGTTAAACCCCACAAAACAAACACAGGCACAGACCCTTTTTTCACAACCGGTTGAAAAAGTGAGGACAGACCAAAAGGGTCTCACTTTCCAAAATGTTCTTACTGTAGTGGTCTACAATACCATCTGGTCCTCACTATGATAGCTGGACTAGAACACACACACACACGCTGCAAATCATATCATTACACTTGATTGAATGAGTTAAATATTTTTAACAGCTGTTGTCACAATGTAAATACTTTTAAGTGTTAGATTTTTTCCACATGGTTCCATTTTCATCTTCTGAATTTTTTCATATGAATTGATGATGAAATATTGTGTGCAAGAGCGTGTGTGCCTGTAGTCATCAGTCAGTCAAGAGATGTGGAGTCTGTGACCTCAGTGTACGACAGGCACTGCCAAACTCCACTCACATACACACGCATATTCGTTTTTAAAGAAAGGTGCCAGCTTTCCAGTCTCGATAGACAGCCAGATCGATTATATATATAATCTTATTTGACAGGTACAGACACAAAGACACCTGATGGGGGTAGAGTACCGGCCACAATTTACCTGCCTCTCTATCTCCATTTCAGGCGCACATGCAGGCATGTACACAAGGGAGAAAATCAAATTTCCAGGCCTTTTTACTGTGGGTCAGGTTGGCATTCAAATTCATTAATCTAGCATATGGGAGTCAGCTAGGGACACGTGGGGTGAGCCCTTGTAAGGAGATTACAACCCACACAGGTGCACCAGCACACAAAAAGGCACAGACAGACATAGACATACAATGGATACACATGCAAACGACGGGAGGCAAAAAACACATGTTGAGTAACATACGTGTGACAGGGGCATTGTGTTGACATTGTTTAGGTCCATTAGGTGAGTGGAAGGGTCACTGCAAAGCAAATGTGGCCACTTTTGTCCTAGAATGAAATCCTGGTGGGCGTGGTCTCAGCAACGTTCCCACTGATCAGTTGTGAGAGATGACTGGAATGGTCTGAGCAGTCAAATAATCTCAAATTAATCGAACAGACTTGAGATTTTGGACTGATATATTATCACCATTGTCAAAACACCAAATTAGAGAATCTTCTGGAAGAATCAAGCTGCATGAGAACTGAAAGCTAAACAACTTATTTCCTTTTTTTAAACGTGACAGTCGTCCATAGTCTGTCACATTCATTAGAACAAGGGCAAGTGAGAAATATAAGAAAACCTCTTTCTCTCTCACACACACAAACACACACATGAAGTGTCTCGCACACACCAGCAACAGTCAAGAAGACAACGGCTAGCAGATAGATGGTCGCTAAGCAACAGGCAAAAGACTAAAAATATGGTCGCATTTCTTCATTCACTTAGAGAGCAGGCACACGCACAAACTCACACACACACGCAAACACTTTCAGTCGTCCTCCAGCAAGGCTTATCAACCTTTAAAAAGCCTACATTTCTAAATCCGTCCCAGTATTCCTGTGTTCCTGTGGCGTCAGCAGCACTATTATCCTGCCCACTCATTCGGAAACTGGCAACTGTTACTGAAGCTTAAGTCATTGAGAAAAAAAGAAAGAGTTTGGCCCTAGTAAGAGGCTGGCAGGGGCCACGGCAATGTGCAAGTCATGCCAAACATTGAAACACTGGCCTCGGTCGTGGAGGGTTCAGGCCTAGGTTTCAACATATTATGTGCTGAGGCCAAATAATTACAGATCATTAAAGGGTGTGAATGTTAAATGTTAAAATGACCAGCCTCAGCCGTGAAATTAGCAATTTTAGCCTCGTACAAATATGACTAATTCAAGAGATTTTTAAAGTTGTCGTTTTTTTTACTGGTAAGGCTTAAAGTTAGGGGCGTGGACGCTATCTCAACCTATCAGACAAATGTCAACGTACAAACACACATATCTTAGTTTCATCTTAGTGACTTATCATTATATATTATATTTAGTGCTGTCAGCGTTAATCTCGTTAAAATGACGTTAACACCATAACCGCATTAACGCGGCAAATCTCCGTTAGCGAGTTAGCGCGGATCGCCCCGTGCGTGGGGCTGGACGGCGCTAACGTGTTAATGAGCTAACGCATTAACAAGCTAACGCATTGTCAATGTGCAGTCCCATGCGTGGGGAATTTCGCGCTAACTTGCTAACTGAGATTTGCTAATGCGGTTATGGCGTTAATGTCATTTTAACGAGATTAACGCTGACAAACTATCAACAACCCACTGAATACTTCCAGTTCACATCTTCCCAATGTGGCAGTTTTCAAAATTTGTCTTTCAGACTATCCCCACCTTTCACATGGACAGTAGAGTTGCCTTAGGTTGACTTAACATGACCTCAGCATCTGAAAGGCTGAAAACGTCTTGACCAATGCCCTTTTCTACAGGTGTTGGGACAGGACATGTCATCATGTTTAACTTCTGTAGAACAATGTTAAATCTTTGCAGCTAAAAGGAACATGGCAGATGTACAAACTCTATCATTGAAAGTGGGCTGGGGAAAACAGCTTTCCTTTATTTCCTGCAGCAAAAGATGTACCATAGAAAGAGTGAAGGTGCAATGGATACAGGAATGTTTACCCCCATAGAGCAATGCCTGTTTGCACCAATCACCCACTTATCTTCCATTTCTACATCCACCGAACTTGGCGGGGCTGTATCAGAGGCGTGGATTGGTCACAAATTAAGGCGGCTTTGTCATGTCTGCATTTATATGGGCTGACAGCAGTGAGTGGGTTGTCCATATTTAACAATAAGGATGGCAGGCAGGTAAATTGTTGTTTTCTGTCCTATTCTTGTGTCAGTCAACAAACCAAAAAGCTAAATTATTGTTTATCTCAGGATGATTTTTCTTGAAGATCTCCGTCAGCATGGTGGGTAGTTGAGAGAAAAATTGCCCACTTCCTGCAGAGTATCTCTTTCTATACTGTTTTCAACAAAGGGAAGTTAGCGTTTAATAATAATCTACACTGACAAGCCATATGCCATCCCTTCTGTCCAGTTTCGGTCCAGCCTCCGGGCAGGACCGGGCTATTAACACCACATAATGCAGATCTGGGCTTTGACACTTTAAACGACAGACACGGATGACAAAACAGTTCACACGATACATGGCCTAATATTCTCGCTTTTAGCTATTCTGAATATCTTACTTTCACTTCCACGCACACCACGCCTGAGTTTCACAGAAAAAACATTTCACGAAAACATAATAAATAGCACAGTTTTACCCATAAAATGTACCAGATCATTTACCACATATATCTGTCGTGTGAACATTTTTATGAAATTCTTGCCAGTTATTTTGTTTGTTTTGTTTTTTTTTACAAACTACAACCAGCAGCTTGTAGACTGCACACTGAAAACGTGATCTGTGACTATTTTCTTCTATCTCATCTTTGGATAACACACACTTGTGATTTATATGTATATATATATATATATTTTTTTAAATTTTTTGTTTAGATTACAAAGAAATGTCCCGACTGGAGCAGAACAGTCATGTGATATTTCAGAGCTGCCGTACATTTCCTTCAAAGTGTCTCACTCTCCTGTGGTTTTATGTTCACACTCTTCTTGTTGCATTGGGTTTCCTTAAAAATGTCCTCTCGTTTCTCTTTGTTTCAGAGAAAAAAGTCCACGTGAGTCTTTCTTGAATACCTCCAGAGTTTTACCTACAGAGTGGGTCTTAAGATAGAGGGGATATCAATGACTTCTCACACACACATCAACGACAGTTTCTGTTATCATGTACAATTAGAAACACTGGCTGTAGTCATGGTTCTGATTTGTCGTCAACACCGTCGTCTCGCAGTCGATCCTTTGCTCCGATTCTTGTGTTGTTCATCGACGGCATCACAGAAGTCCCTGCTTGGCTCAAAGTTGTTCACATTATCCGTAGTTTAAAGTGTAAACAATGCACCTCACGATGTGTCGTGCACAAAGCTTCAGCTTTTTCTTGGTGGACTGTTCTTGTTGGTTCTTCCTCCCCACTTTAGAGATTTCTTCACTTGAATTTGTCTTGTCCATTATTAGATCACGCTGCATTTATACGGTTTTTCATTGTTGTTATTTTTTACAATTGCACGGTAACAACATCAACACGTGACGCCACTCAAAAGTTTAGTAAAAAGTGTGGGGATTTGGCATTAAACAGATGCCAAAATGAAACAGAAACTGGCTCAATTAAAAAGAGGGCAGGTCGGTCGGTGCTGACTACAACATTTCATCAACTTTAAGACTTTATTCCTACGGGGAAGATAAAAGTAAGGCAAGGGTCTGAGGAAAGTGTATGGTGTGTGTAGGGACTATTTTGCACAGTGTACTGAGGAAAAAAAGAATAAAAAGACAAAAAAAAATAAAAATGAAAGGTGGTCAGTTTTCATCTCGCCCGCAACTTGGTCCCCGCAACTGCAGAATCACCCAAGGGCCCCAAGAGTGTGTATATGTGAGTGTGAGTGTGTCTGTGTGCATTTGGTGGAAGAGGGATTAAAAGTGTGAAGTCACTGTCAGTTTTAGAGCTCAAATGTTCAGACAGGAGCGTCCACTGATACAGTAAAGGTGGAGGGAGCGAACGAGTGACTAATACAGGGCAGTAAAAGGTTTTTACCACATATTCTTGTTTATGCTATACACACTTTCTTCTTCCTCTATTTCTGTTTCTTCTCTTCTCATCTTTTCCATTTTTATATCGCACTTTAATCCTCACTCTCAACCTATTTTCTCTTCAGAAGCCAGCTGATCGTCTTTTCGTTCCAGCTGTCTTGGCAGTATATTAGGACAACATGAGCCTGTACACTTTGTTGTCAACTGCTGATTTTAGAAGCACCCTCAAAAGTCAGTTTTATATCTTTTTTCCACGATGTTGCATTTTAATTTTATGTATTCGAGAGGTTTCCTCATAACTAGACCAGAGGGAGGGGCTTCCTGTCTAAAAGAGCTGCTAATGTAGAATAAATAATTATTAATTTGGACATTTGGCAAGTTTTACTGTTTATGAGGACTCACTCTCTGTTTATCAGGACAGAGAGGAATGTAGGGAAAAAACACATCTGATGAAAAACTGAAATAGTCTTTGGACGGATTTAAAGATTTCCTGAAAAGTCGGCCCATATCGATCTATCTCTTCTCCCTCTCTCACTGCTGCATTGCTCTCTCTCTCTCTCTCTTTTCATATTGGCAGTGGGACTCTCTCTCCCTCTGCTTTCCTCTACATTTAAAACCCTGGTATATGGCAATAGGCCTCCAGGGAAGCCAGCAGGATGTAAATCAGCCACAATGAGACAAACATCAGCGACGTTATTATTTTGCAAGTCCGCGGCCCACCCAGCTCGCCACCGGCGACTGTTGCCCGCCTCCGGTACAGAAGCGTGAGCACGCTCACCACAGCTAAGATAGTGAAGAGGGTGACAGAGAAGGCCAGACTTCCTGGGTCCACCTTGAAAGGTTTGCCCTTGGAGCGCCAGGCGATGGCAGCGATGGTCCATGCCACGCCGATGCCCAGAAAGACGTTAACCGCATTGGAGCCGGTGACGTTGCCGATGGAGGCGTCAGCGTACTGGTCCTGGATGGCAGCGACCTTGCTGGCAAATGTGTCTAGAAGAAAGAAAGAACGAAAGGCTTTATTGTAAAACCCTTTTTTATGCTGCCTCATTTTTAGGGTTCTTTCTTCTACTACGTTCATCTTTTCAAAACCTCAGAGCAACCGCTTCAAACTACAATAGAAAAATCAATGTGAAAGATTAGAACAAGGCATAAAAGCAAAGCATAGACCTAGCGTCAAAACAAGACAATGACACTGTGCCAACCAAAACTATGGAAATTACTTTAATTGAATAAATTTTAGATGTATTTTTGTGAAAGACTTGCTCACAGGCTGCTGCAAAAAGCTAAAGGTAACAACTGTTTTCCACTTAAAAATATACAAGTGAACATCATGTCATTCAAGAATGGAAAGAGAAGCATAAAGACAGGACAAAACTGTGAAGTGGTTGGTCTTTTTTACAGGCAGACACTGATTATCAGTCTAAGAAAAAAAAGTTACAACACCTAGGAAGAAGAAAAGCAACTGTACCGATAACTGAGGACATAATACTCAAAGACAGACAAAGGACGAACAAATGCTTGGGTGACAGCCAAATACAGCAGAAGATTTTATAACCTGCATAATTTAAATATGCAATGCTGTCAAATCCAATCAGTAGATATTTGGTTACACTGGTGCTTATCCAGTCAGCTATCACGAAGATGATGGGGAGTCATACATAAGCTTTTATAAAAAAGGTTTGTTGCAGACACTGGAAGTCATTGATGAGTGAAATCCTGACATTTCCGGGAATATCCTACATGTCAGTTAAAGTCAAACTCAGTTCTTCACTCTTGGTAGATCACCTAACACTTGCTGACATCTTATACACCCACAGTTTCTATGTATCTGCAAGCCCCTTTGCAACCACAAAGGTCAGTTCCTCCATTCCTTTTGCATAAATATTATATAAGCAACAGCATAAATATTATCACAGATGTGTAACACTGTATGTGTAATTGAAAGGATTACACACTCACTTGCCACTTTTTTTAGGTACACCTTGCTACAACGAAACCATTGATACAAACAAACAATATTGTTTAGTTTTAAATGCCTGTGATCTATTGTCCACGAGATCATGCTCTAACAGGAGCAGCACCTGGTCTTTTGCTGCTGTAGCCAATCTGCTTCAAGGTTTGATGCACTGTGCATTCAGAGATGCTCCTCTGCAGACCTTAATTGTATTATGTGATTATTTGACTTACTGTTTAATTCCTATGAAGTCCTATGAAAGCCATTCTCTGACCTCTGGCATCAACAAGACAAAGAACTGACACTCATTGGGTATTTTGCTTTTTTGGATCATTCTCTGTAAACCTTAAAGAGGTGGTTGTGTTGAAAATCTGCTGTTTCTAAAGCACCCACATTCAACCCATCTGTAAGGTGGCCCTGAGAGGCCAAATGGACTACAACTTAAGTTTTCTTAAGTTGTAGACCAGCAATAAGAAAAACGCTGCAATAGCACACAAAACACAATGGAAATAGGAAGAAATGAAAACGGAAATAGAAAAAACGAAAACAGAAATAGGTAAAAATAGATTTCTAAAAGCACAAGGGAAGTGTTTCTGGGGAGGCAATAACCCGACGGACCAGTTGCAGGAACCAAAATATGCAATAAGAATTGTGCTGGGAGACACTTAAAAGAAGTGGAGGATCTATCGGTAACTGTGTTAGCCTAACTATTAGCCTAAAAATCTGTCATCAGTATTATATGAATCATGAGATTAAAACACATCTACCATGTTTTGGGCGCCTGCAACTGGTCCGTCGGGTTATTGTCTCCCCAGAAACACTTCCCTTGTGCTTTTGGAAATCTGTCTTTTCCTAATTCTGTTTTTGTTTTTCCGATTTCCATTGTGTTTTGTGTGTTTTTGCAGCGTTTTTCTTATTGCTGGTCTTTTCTTAAGTTGTAGTCCGTTTGGCCTCTCAGGGCCACCGTACATCTGGCACCAACAACTATCAAATACATTTAAATCACCTTTCTTCCCCATTCTGATGGTCAGTTTGAATTTTGGCAGATCTTCTTGACTATGACTGCATTCGCAAATGCAGCTGTGATGTGATTCGCTGATTAGATACATGCAATGACGAGCTGTTGAATCAAAGCAACTTACAAAGTGGACGGTGAGTGTATACTGCATAAGGAAATAACAATCTGTCAGCCGCAGTTAAAGTCTCTTAGTCCATATTTTTGTAATCATGCTCCATGGAGCTGAATCAGTGGTTTAATGCTGGTTGCTCAGTGGTTGCCTTGTGTCCAGGTTATATCTTTAGAGAGAAATTTCCATTCCTGTGGGATCCCTGTGGAATGATCATTTCTGTGTTCACATTGGGTCACTGTTTGAGGCGAGAGCCTTTAGAGTTACATTATCAAAATTTATGTGCATTTAAAAAAGCCTCAGGAGGTTTGCGTTGCTCCGCGATACACAGTTTTGTCAGAAATGGATTCACTTGCCATATATCGTTTTTTTATGCACACTGGGCAGAATTAAACATCACTTGCATTAGTTTCAGAGAAGATTTATTAGTCCTGCTGCAATTTACAGTTGTGTTCTGGCATCAGAACAACCAAAATCAATGTAATAAATGCTGTGAAATGCTGTGTAGGTGTACACTAAGTGTGCTCTGTGGTGCAGGATATGTGAGGAGAAACTGGATGAAAAGCAGAGAGACTACAACTGGGTTGGCAGGGAATACCGGCGGAAGCTGCTGCCAGTTACTGAACGTCTGTTTTTAGACAGGCTGGTGAGAAGAGCCTCAATTTTCATTTGAATGTCAGTGAGATTAGCTGAAATTCGTATCCCAACATTAAAACTGTCCTCAAAATTTTTTCGGGGGGGGGGCGACTGTAATCCTGCTGGGGGTAGACGACACAAAAAACAAGTGTGTGTGTGCACATAGGGGCAGCCATATAACTCCACATTACTGCCTCCAAATAAGATCATCAGACACATGTTAGAGATGCAGTGGGACAAAATCCAGCAGCATCACAGACTCTGAATTAGCAATGTTTCTTAAAAGGAATCAGTTTGCTAAAGAATTATCTTCACTTGTCTAAAAAGCAACTTGAATCCCAATAGGTGCTCAATGAACATTTTTTTGCTATTTCATATAAGGCTGTTCGATATAAGATATATATCGGATGACGATATGAAAACGTCTATCGTTTCATTTTACGCTATCGTTTGTTTCGTGGTGTCGCAAAATAAACTGTTTACGGCAATATTTTTTCATGACTTTGATGGTCACTGTAGTTTATTAATTTCTTAAAGCTCTCTCTTTCTCTTATATTTAAAATAACCACGCTACAGGCGGATAAGCGACTGTTTTTCCACGTTGTTGTTTGCAACAATGACGGTAAACCCAGCGTGTGGCTCCGCCGTCCACTTGTTTATTTTCCACATAAACCTTTCACAATAAAGCTGAAGATCCTGTTGGGATTTTTCAAAATAAACTGAAATGATGACAAACAGGAAGAGCAGTTGAAACAAATCGAGGACCTTATTTCTAAACGAGGGGCTACCTCTGTAGCATGGACATGGTTTTGTTATGAAAAGGCTGACACGGACCAGAAAACTGTACTATGCAAATTATGCAGGAAACTGGTCGGTGAAAACACTCGACTCCAGGTACACGACACCCAGCTGAAAACACTTCACACGAGTCGAGTTACCCGAGATTCACAGAATTTACAGAAAATGTAAAATTTTTGTGATTTATATCTTTGTCGGGACAATAAATGTCTTATATCGGGATATGAGATTTTGGTCATATCGCACAGCCCTAATTTCATATGTTTAAAAATAGCAAACAGAACTGTCATGGTTGTGGGTCTCTGACCCAGTGTTTTGTGTTTGTGGACTTTTTTGAATCTTGATAAGTCATTATTGTGGTATTCTTAGAGTTCTCATATTTCCTAGTTTAGTTTTCTTCGTTTATGAGTTTCTGATTCTTGTGTTTATCCTTTGTGGTTCTGGTTTAGTTTCCCTTATTGTTTTGTCCTCAGTGTTTCCTGTCTTGTTATGATAGTCTCTTGTCCTGCATGCATTGTTTAGTTTTCCTTCCCCTCTCTCGTTGCGTCTGATTTGTTCCTGCTGTGTTTCTCTCCTGTTTCCCTCGTTATCCTGCATGTGTATTTAGTCTTCAGTCACACTCTGGTGGTCGTGGTCTCCATGTTTGCAGTGTGTTTCTTGTGTGTAGTTCATGTTCCTTTATTGTGTCCTGGTTGCAAGAGTCTTAGTTCTAAACTTGTTTCTTTTAGTGTTTTTTTAATTTTTATTTTTGCACCACATCTGACTTCTTCATCACAGCAAATAAAGCTGCCTCTTATATTTAAATCCCCCGTCTCTGAGTCCTGCGATCTGGTCCTGCCTAGCCAGCCACACAGGTAACAATGATGAGAACAGCCTGTTTAATGCTGTGGTGAATGTACGCAGACCTACTGGAGTGTCATCTTCTGAACATCTTCATTTGGCTCGTATAAACTCCTTTCGTCCACACTATTCCTGCTAAACGGTCACAAAAATATCTCAAAGTTCTCATTTGATGAACGAGGCTGTGCAGATTTTTATTGTTATACTAAAACAATTTAAATCCTCTGTTGCAGCAACTTCCCACAAAATTCCAAAAGGACTTTCCACAGTGAAATTCATGTATTTAGACCAAAAGAAGAGCAACAACTAAATCAATATTATCCAAAAAGTCAAAAATCAGTTCACACAGAGATAAGCTTCAGGTATGAAGCAGCGTACGAGATGAAGACTGCAAACCAGCGTCAGCATTTGTTCACCACGGATGCACATATCAAACACCACTTACCGTTTAAATACCTCAGATGGCTACAAATGAGCTGTGCAAACCTCTTAAACAGGCAGAAACATTTTGCAGCGTGCAGCTTTCAAACCATCAGCGTTTGCTCTCTAATTGCCTGAGTCTGCAAATTCTGTGTAATTTGGGCCGATAATCCTGGAGTGTGTCTCCAATCAAATAACACAGAAATGCTTTTATGAATCTCGAGGAGGACAGAGAGAAGAGAAGGAGGAGGGAAGGGCGCATGTCAGAGAAATGGAAACGAGAGAGCAGATGAGTGTTGCTAACAAGTTTTAAGGAGATCACACACGCAGAAGGCAGCAAACACTCCCTGTGAAAGTCATAATGGCCCGCTGGAGATGCTGCATGCTAACTTGCAGCTCCTTGACAGGAAAAGCACATGTTTTTACCCACACGCACGCCTGGTTTCTACAGCATACACAGGTCAGAATGATGGATGATCCAATAGCAAAAACACTAAGAGGAGGAAAGAAAGAGCGGAGTAAGGTAACACCAAGTCAGAGTAACAAATTGACCAGAATGGGGCATGAGAGCCTAACAGATAAGTGGGGGGACTATGAGAGACTAAAGAAGGAACAGATAGAGATTTGGCTGGGAGTGAAAGTGATCAGAGATTCACAACAAGAGGGAAAATGAAAACATTAGAACCTTGCAAAAGGAAACGCGCTGATTTACGGATCTAAAATCCCCCTTCACACACCATAACATGGTTGTAGAAGGAATTGATTCAAACACTACTTTCCAGAGACCTCATCACAAGCCATCCAAGTTACCGCCCGGAAGAGCAGCACAGGAGCCGTTTCTATAAATCATACGAAGGGGCAACAATAAACCTGCTGTCGTTAGGAATGAGGCAGGGAATTGAATGAAAGTCTGGGGACGATCTGCCCACTCCGGGCAAGAAAAAAAATCCGAGGCTGAAGGCTGTGATGGAGCCGGAGTTTTACAATTATATTTTTGATTTCGATCCTGGAAGTCAAAGCGGCTGCTGTTGAAATCAGGTGCAGGAGAGAGGCTTGTGTTTGTTTACATCTGAACTTTGGAGGGAAGACGCAGCTCATTTCATGTCTGGTGAAACGGAAAGCTCGAGTGTGGTGTAATGGGAGGGGAGGAATTTGTAACATAGCAAACGTGGAAAATAATCACTCTGCACCACTGTGGCGTAACACCGAGCCATCTGTTTCTGTTTGAGTCCCGCTAAACCTCTCCTCATACCTGTATTCAGATCAAGCTGCAAGCTGGGAAAATCTTCTTCCTGCTTGTTTTCAACAGCCGCACTCATACACAGGCATTACTCATAATAACCCACAATACCGCATCTAAATGTAACCATGTGTCTAACTAATTTTTCATTATCTAGCTAAACTTTCATCAAATCTTGAAAGGTGAAAACAATATAAAAGAAATAAAGATCCCAGACACGTTTTCTGATGTGTTTGATGAGCTGGCCATTGATGAGCGTGTGGTGGTGAATGTTTTGGTGCTTAGATTGGGATTTAAAGTCAAATAATAAGGCTCTTCCCCACTCATCCTCACCTGGCACTGATGTTCCCAGCGCTACAAACACCACAGCCGTCACCGAGTCCTTCAGTCCTATCGTGCAGCCGAAGTGAGATGCCAGATCGCCCGTGACTGCGGTGAGGACGCCGATAAGCGATATGGAGACGATGAAGCAGGCCCAGCCGTTCCAGTACTCTGTGGGAGGAACGAAGGCGAACAGAACCTTCCAGAAGACAGTGAGGAAGTGCATGATGTAGTCGAAGCAGGAGGGCAGCCGCTCCTCGCCGCTCTCCTCCTCGTCATCATCTCCTTTGGGTAGGTGGGAGATTGAAACGGAGTAAAAGTAACAAGACGATTAATAAAAAGGAATGAGACAAAAAGAAGAAACAAGACAGATAAACTTCAGCTTTAACTCTAGTAAGAGACAGAAGTTTGATATCTTTTCTTGTCACATTTATCTCCTAAGTCTCTTGATTAGCTTAGATTAGCATAAAGACTAAAAAACAGCTGATCTATAGCTTTGCTTAAAGCACCCATTTAGCAGCACTTTAAATCTCACTCAATTTGTATTTGACATTGTTTTAAATGTTTTAGTCATGACTTGATGAAAAGCAGCTGGTATGTAGCTGTAATTCACAAAAACTACCCAATATAAGCAATATGGCTAACTGCCTGAAATACCTCCCCAACCTAACATTTTAATTAGAAGCTAATAACGCACGTCATATTAATTGATAAGCTTTAGAGATTATAGAAATATATTTAAATTAAGAGTGAGGGGTTGTTTTAAGCAACACAAAATGCTGTATTAATTAAATGCTATAATGTACCAATAATTGTGCTATGTTATGCTAATCTAGCTTGCTAGTAGCCCATACTATGCCCATATATGAGAGCTGTTTCATTCAATCCCATTGCCACCAGTTTACAGAGTCAAGCATGCAGCCTTGCTTTCTGCCTTTACAAATATTTGCAAAAGAAATTTTTTTTGAGTGTGATACTGTAATCAAATGTCACCATAGCAACTTGCAAGTAATTTTGATACATTTCTTCTGTTCAAGATATTCCAAAGTGAATTCTAAGGGATATTATTGAATAGTATATAAAACCTGCTCTACTAATTAAATACGTGCAGAGTCCCCTCTCATTCAACATCAGTTTCTGCCTACGTATCCCCCAATTCGGATGAATGGGCAGAAATTCCTACAGACACACTCCAAAGAGTGGAAGCAGTCATAACTGCAACTCCATATGTGCATGTGTAACCTGCAGGTAGAAATATTCTTTTGTCCATGTACTTCATTTCCTACAATGTCAAACTACTTTACATAACTAAAACTGAATCAGACTTCCATCTGTGACAGTAAAGAAACAGACTATGAATGTAATAAACGAAGCTTATGCGTAAGTTCAATAGGGAAGATCTGTAGTCACTCATCTGTCTGCTTCCCAGGTGTTGATGGATAATCTAAGCTTTACATCACTTCCACTTTCCCACGCTGTCAAGCTGATTGTGACATCACATGTCTAGTCCAATCAGCTTTCTGCTGGCCTTCTTCTGACCAATCAGCTTTCACTCTGCGTACTGTACATCTGTCATTCTTCTTTGCAGTTGCCTTCGTGCAACTCAGGCTCCATTCAAGCCTCCATCTTCATCTCCACCACCAGTGTCTAGACTCTGGGGAGTCCTGCTCTAATCCTATCACCACTGAGATCCCGTTCTGCTGCGCCGGGCCATCAGGGTCTAACCGCCAAATATCTCAAACTGAATTCTGTACATCAATAAATCACTTTCAATTCCTTCTGATGATCTCTCCTTATCAAAATACACTATAAGAGTCCAAATTAAATGCTGATGTCACGTTTTAAGAAAAGTTC